TTTTTTCCCCCCCAGGTGCCTGTCGGGGCCTGGGTTTCAGCTGTCCACACCACAGCAGTGGGCAATGAGCTTAAAGCCCCTGATGGCTCTGGGCACTGACTCTCACCAGTGGCTATGGATGAAGTCACAGGCGATTTTCAGCCAGTGCCCCGAGAGCTCTGTTTCTTATGTGCTTTTCCTATCATTTTGAGGTGGAATTCATGGCCATTCTGTGAAGTTGTTTCTTGAGGAAAGAAGCAGTGAAGGATAGAGAAGTTACCATTGCAATGTCCATACTAATTCCTAGAACTCTTTCAAGATTTAGGGTCAGCACCAATCCAGCAATGAAAGAAGAACCCATTATTAGGTAAAATTGGCTCCTAAAATGTTCATTGAAAATCCTTCTTAGCAATTCTGTCCTTTCCCCTCTTCTTTTCTTTACTCAGCACAGTCCCATGGTGACCAGTTTTGAAAGAAATTTTCTCTTTTCAGCAGTTACCTAGCACCATGGCAACTGGAACGTCAGCAGAGCAGGATAGACCCTACACAAAACAGCTCTAACCAGGCTGCTTTTCTGTCACTAATTCAGCCATCCCTAGGGAAGGGTCTAAAGCCTTTTAAACATGCACTTGCATGAATCTATGTATTTCTGTAGTTTTGCTCATAGCTGTCACAGATGGGTATATGTTAAGAATTTCCTTCCCCACAAAAATATTCAGCACACACTTTTAAGTAGGGGCGGGAAATGGGACAGGAACATTGAGTACTATTTGATTTTATTTTGTGTTTGTAAGGTAACAGTAAGTTGATAGGGAAAATCAGAGCCCTAGATATATGTCCTAATACATCTTTTGGTTCAAGACCCCCAGGGATATTTTTTTAAATACTCAAATGACTTTAATATAGGCAAATAACTTCAGGAAACACTGAAGAGGACATAATGCTGTCCGTGGTGCTGAACCCTCCGTTGTCACAAAGAGTGCTTAAAGAAGGTAGTTAAAGAACTTCTTTACGTTTCTGGATGCTGATGAGAGAGAATAGGGAAAGCATCATTTTCTTTCCATACCAAGTAACTCTAAATACCTAATTAAAAAAAAATACAAAAGAAGGTGGAGAAGTCTGGAGTTTTGGGTGGCTGAATCTTCCCCTTTTCTTATGGAGATTTTTGGTCAGAGCCAATCAGGTCAGAGATTTCTGCTGCTTTGCTCCTGAAAGGAAAAGTGGGGGCAGGGAGATAGAAGATGGCCACATTTTCCCCTTGAGCCACATGATCTATTTCCCATGTGACACATTCCAGAGCCTTGGAAAGGAGAAGGGAGGGGCATCAAGAGAGTGGGGCTGGGGGCGGGAAGATGGTTTAACAGTCAACCCTGCACAGCGTCATCCTGTCTTCCTACCAGTAAGCAGGGTATGAAACAGGGAGAAGGCAAAGGACAGATATGAATGTGCTCTCAAGATTTCCTGGTGGTTTATCGCTTTCCCTAGACTCCTGTGCAAGGGGTACTGCTGACCCAGAAGACCCAAGGAGACTGTCTCCAAAACCAAGTCCAGATGAAGGTATGTGATAAAGATCCCTTGGGATTGCGGCTGAATTTTGGCTCATCGTCCCCCCTCCCTCAGGCAATGTGGAGATTTTTTTTTGTCCTGGCATATCTATTGGTTAAGGGTTTTAAGATTTGTCACAGGTCTAGAAGAGATGCCTAGGCAGTTCTGTAAAATGAATAATTTAACAGCGTAAATGTCTATTCAAGAAAAATTGGATGGATCATTTGTTTAGTGATAATGAATAAAACAAAGCACTCATTGATGAAAAGGATTTTCCCCCCCTTTGAGTACTAGAAAGAGCAAAAAATAATGTTGCAAAAACCAGCTAGCTTTCATTTTTACTGGAAATAAAACCCTGTTTCATCGCTTTTCAGCTGCTTTTTCTCTGCCCATCTTCCCAGAGGTTATTGGCAGTGTGGCTTAGGGAGCCTGAGTGGGCAGGCATGCTGTTCTTTTGTGCTATGCGATCATCCTCCTTCTGATGTTCCTGGTACCAGGAGTGCTTGTGATTAGTCTCAGCTCTGGTTTAGGGTAGTAGAGACAGCCACAGAATTCCAAATCTTAAAGAATTGCTGCCAGGAAGCCCTTGGGAAATTCTCAACAGAATCTACCGAAGTTACAGGCTAAAATAACCTGCTGTGCACCAAAATCTTAGCGTCTTTGATCATTTCTTTCTACCAGTACAAAGAGGAGGATTTGCAAATTCAATTTTATTTCATCTTTAACAAATACTTATAAGTTCTTATTATGTGTAATGCACTGTTTTAAGCACAGTTGTTCACGTAATTCTTATAACAACCCTTGGGGGAGGTGTTATTATTGTCCACATTTCATAGATGAAGAAACTGAGACAAGGAGAGGGTTAGAGAGCTTTCCCAAGGTCACACAGCAAATAGTAAAGGCAAGGTTTGGCCCTAAGAAGCCCACGTTCTTAACCACTGAACCAACTGCTTCTCTACTCCTGCTATTTCAAATGATGTCAGCTGACAGTTTGGCTGCCTCAGAAATCTTGTTCAACTGACCATTCTTTACTAGATGATTGAATCAGCTTAAAAAGATGTCCCAGTGAGATGCATATTTATTCCTGAGTTATCCCAGCAGACACATTCTGTACCCCTAAGTAAACTACCAAGTAATTCCCTAGTATTCCCCTATGCTATATAAATATGGTAGTAATATAGTGTGTCACTCTGGTAACCAAATGATGTCTAAAGGGGAAAAAACTCCTAGAATTACATCATAGTTGTTTTGTTTTGTTTTCACCATACCTAGAAATATTTTTCCATGCTCAGAAATGAGTAACAATGTTGATACTCAATGGGTACTATGGACTCGCAATTGATCCATAGCTGACCCTCCTGCAGGTTTTCAGAGGTAGTTACTCAGTTGCACGGGAGGAGATTGCCCATTCTTCTCCCGCAGAGCAGCTGATGGATTCGAACCATGCACCTTTGGGATTGCAGCGCAGCTTCTTGCCACTAGGCCACCAGAGCTCTCTTCAACTTACCTAGTTTTTTTTAAAAAAGAAATAGATTAAAAACTTCACACACAAACTATTTATTTTTTAAAGTAATATTT